GAAGTTTTCAGGTTTTTTTTTTACTTTCATTAAATCATCAAGTGAAACCCATGTAGCTATTCTACTATTTTTTTGTGAATAAACTCAACACCTGAGGAAACTAATAGTAGATACCTGTTCTTAAATATTAATAATATTATTATTAATTGCTGCTGCTGTTGCTGTTTGTTGTTGAAATCGTAGTATTACAATTAGAAAAAATTGAATGTACAAAATGTAATATTTAGCCATAATTATTAAATTTTATTTAAATTCAGGTATACAAAAACGATGGAGTATAGCAATAATTTTTGGTGTATTGTGTTTAACCGTGGTTATAATTTTGGGTTATTATACGTGCTTTCTTAGGTAATCTTTTAATACTTGTTATATAATCTGATTCATACTATATCATTTAGTACATATTAGATATGGCGTTTGAGACGCGTTAAGTGTTTAGTATGTAACGACGGCAATTCCGCTGAGTCATTGCGTTGAGTAATCGGTAGAAAATTAAAAAAAAACAAAGTGAATATGAAATAAATTTTGCAAGTATGTTTCTTGTTTTTTAATAAAAAATACGGAGTTTCAGATAACAAAAATTATCTGTAAAATCAGAACAGAGTTGTGAGGTTTCAACGTGGAAAAAAGTCATGGCTAGAAAAGTTCGCAGCAGTTGATAAAGAAAGAAAGTAGTGCTCAAGCTGTGACGCTAATAATATTAAAAATACGGTCAGTTCAAATGGTAAACAATAATCGACCCAACACCAACCTTTGAAAAGATCTAGTAAATAAGGTATGTCTACAAACCAAGTTTTATTAAAAGAAGATAATTTAAAAGATTTAAAAAACCGAAAATTATCTATTAAAGATCTAAGTTAATTATAAAAACGCACTGAATAATATAATTGTGGTAATGTAAGTGTTTAAATGAAAAACTGTTTTGGTGGAAAAACGTGTGGAAAAATTTTGTTTTAAGACCTAGCGTTCAAAAAGTCTAAAGGGCTTAAAACATTTGATATGGAACGATAAATTAAAAAATTAAATTGGTCGATTATCTCAGAGGAGTAATTTAGACTGTTTATAAACCGAAGCAAAACACTAAAAGAAAGATTGGCAAATTTCAATAGCACGGGAGCAAAATTAAAGAAACTGTTCTAGAAAAGAAGTGAGTGAAGCAGTGGCAAAATGAGTTTTAGAACTTTTGCGGTCAAAACAGCAATGAGGTTATGTGATCTATGTTCAAAGCGTGTTTCTTTGATGGAGCAGTGGTTTTCTTTGATTGATAAATGTTATTTAAAATGGTTGAAAAGAGTGCAGCTTTTATCATCGAAAGAAGTTTGACTCTAGCTTTTTCTTTACAGAATCAACTTTAGAATTTATGATTAACCCTTTTACAATCACTTACGCTTTCTGAACTATTTTTCTCATGGTGGTGTCTTGGTAAAATAAAAAATTTTAACTCCGGCTCCGACCTCAGAAAAAGTTTTCAATTTTTGCTTTATACTTTTATTTGAACGACACTGGTTATACGATACTTCGAAAAACATTGAATTAATAAAATTATTTTATATTGAAATTTCAAACGATAAATTTATAAATTTCTTGCATCAAACACTTTAATGAAATTGGAAACTGTTGAATACAAATTTAAGTTTAGTGGAAAACTTTAAAAACATCGTAAAAAAATGTATTATCAAAACAATTTAGCTTACGAAACGTTATCTATCACAATATATGTTCTTGAGAAATTGAGTCAAAACGCATTATAACATAGAATTGTAGGTTGTTCAGTTGAAATCTAGGGACATTTTCGTTTGGTTTTAGTAACAACAATAGAAAATTTTGCTTGTCAGATTTTTTTGAAATTTTTATAATACAACTATTTGGTTTAGCCCAAACAGTTATATTATAAAAATTTCAATTTTTTCAAAAATTATATTTTGAAATTTTTATAATACAACTATTATATTATTATTATATATTATATTTGTATTACAAAAATTTCAAAAAAGCTCTGACAATTTAAACAAAATTTTATATCGTTAATAATAAATCCATATTTTTTACTATTCAAAATTCAAATTTTGATAATGCAACAAACATGTAATGTTTAAATCATTAATAAATCTACAACGAATTCGTTTTTTAAGGTATACGGTACAGTCAACTCATGGCAGTTTGAGGTGTTTTTTGAAGTTATTAGCAAATAACGAGTAAAAAAATAAACGGCATAATTTTTCTGCATATAGCATCCTCTCTCGTTATAACACTACAAGCAAGCCTGGTTCTTTAAAATTTTTAAGAGTAGGCACAAGTTGCAAATTTGCCGCTCTTTATGGTTTTCATTTTAAAATATAAAATACTTTTTAATATCTAATCTTTATTATGATTAAATATGAAAATCATTTTAAAACAAAGTTATAAACAAAATCGGTTGTTCATATTCAATAGACGTGGACAAACAATTGCTATAAATTCAATTAAACTCTATTCTTTATGTTTTTAACTCTGGAAAAATTTTCACTTGTTTATCCACGTTCAAATAATCGGCATGTTAACCGGGGTGTCGGAGTCGGCCCCTCAAAAAATTCTGACTCCGACTAAGCCTAAAAATTTCCAGCTCCGTGTTCCGAGTTTCAAAATATGTTGCAGTTTTTGCATTATAATTATACCTTATTACCGCTACTAAATAAAATATATTTTAAAAACACTTAAAATCAGTCAATGTAATTGTTTTTCTTAGTAAAATTACTTTATATTTGCGTGTTTAAACATATTGAACAAAATTATATGGTTTTATTCACATTTCAACACTTATATTCAGTATTAAAGATGATTGTATATTGCTAACATATAATTTGTCTTTTAAAAAAATTTCAGAATAAAAAATAAAATTTTTTTAAATTAATTACGTTTTCCGGGAGTCTCTCAAAAATTCCGACTCCGGTCCTACAAAAAAATTCCAACTCCGGCAAAAATCTTCGACACTCTCGTTCAAAATGGCAGCTAGATCACCAAATGTTTATGACATGGTTGTGATTTTTAATTATGTTCAATTAAGATATGAAGTTTTTTCAGCATTAAGCAAGTGCGACCGGCAATTTTAAAGCCAAAAGAAATTACCTTAAAGAAGTGCCCAAAGAACTATTGAAAAATTAAAAAATTGTTAAACAAAAGTTTAAGATTACATTTGAAAAAAGTCTGATTTTTTGCGCACGTGGTTTCTTTTTTTTAAATCATTTTTAAATTTTTGGTTCAACTGCCATTTTTGGTTTTTGCTAAAAATGCTTCATCAGGGGTTTAATCGCATAAAAACGAGTTAAAATCATTAAAATATTTCAAAGCTGAAGACAAATATACATTTTGTGACTGCAGAATTTTTACTGAAAATATTAATTCAAAGAAATTATATCACAACACTAAAAAGCAAATGTTGCAACAATATTATAATTTTCAAATTTATTGCACTATCATCAAGTTATTCGATTTTCCGTTGGTTCACTGATTTTTGATAGATTAACATTACTGTTTCAAACACAGGCTTGTTTAAACGTTTATTTGAATGTCAACAATAATACAACACTGAATCATTCACTAATCTAAGAAATACTCTCGATTGCTAATAATTCACAGCTCAACTCCATTATCCAACAACTGCAACCTCTTTTGCTAAGAAGCCTATATCCCTATCTAACCTGAGTCTGGTCATACAAGATCACAGAAAGTATAACAAAAAACAACAATAATTCTATAACTCAATTGTAAAATAATAGTTCTCGCCGTATACAACAATATGTATGGCTGATCCTTCGGTTCAACTCATATCTGTCTTTTATTTATTGATTTATTATTTTATGCTAGTGCAATTACTGGACCAAAATCTCAACTAATCATTAATCTAAGAGTTTGATCTTAGATCTGTACTACTTACCCAGTAAATGCCATATGAAGGTTTTAATGTAAAATCACTTTTATGGTTTGATAATGCATTTCAGCAATGGAATGATCTCAAGAAAAAATTCTGTATATTTAAAATAAGCCCAAACGATGATAAATATTCTACACCTCAATCAGCTGCATTATTTAGAACCAAATTGAATGAGTGGGTATTATATGGTTTATAAAATCTCGAGAATCAAGTTGGCCAATTCTGATTTGAACACCATTAACCAATTGTCACACGTTAAATTCATTTATCATACGCTCGTTCCCATATGTCATCTAAAGGAATTGGGAGGATCCGTACATAGTAATTAACAGGATAAACGACGTGGTCTACGGGATTTGAGATCATGAAAAACAGCAAGCAAAGAAGTTGTTCCTTTGGATAGATTAGTCTACTATTTATCGGAATAAAAAATTACTCCTATATTAAAAACAAGTTGAGGTGTGCGAAAGGCTACACTCGCTGCAATAATCAAATTACTTTTTTGTAAATTGCGCTATAATTTCAGTCAATTGTTGATTTTAAAATTCTATGCCTCCAATTTTAGTTATTTGTTAGTATCAGATATCTTTGTAGTACTCTACTGTACATCTATATATATATTAAATATATTATATATATATATATATATATATATATATATATATATATATATATATATATATATATATATATATATATATCTTGGTTTAATTTTTAATTCGTCGTAATAAAGTTAAAGTTGTAAACAATAAAGGATAGTTTATAGAAGTTGCATTGTTTTGAAAGTTGAACTCACCTGGACAACGAACAAACACAGCAATCTAATTAATATGGCTTTAAAGTGTACGAAAACAAAATGTGTGAAATTAGGTAAAGAAAATTTGCAATGCAATCAATGTTTTCAGTGTGAAAATAGTTTTTACAAAAAATGTGTTGGTTTGAGCGATGAAGCTTTTGAAGTGATAATTTCGATAATTTTAAATGGTTTTGTGATATATGTCTGAAGAAGTTATGCAACGTTAAAAATCTCTCTAAAATAGTCAGTGACAACAATGATGAAATCAACTTAAAAGTCGAAAAAATTAATGAAATGAACGGTTTGCTTAAAAATGAACTTAAATTGATAAAAGAGATGTTGAACAATAACAGTGCAAAATTAGATAGCCTTGATAGACCTGATAGCAAGTTATCTGCCGAGATCAACACATTCAAAAGTGATTTGAAATCTTTTTTTGCTACTGTTGTTGGCCAAGAGGTGAAGAAAAACATTGAGTGTGTCAATCTGGAAGTTAAAACGGTAAAAAAAAATTAACTGAGTCAATCGATATGAAAGACAGAAAGAAATATAATAATTTTCAATTTACAAGAAGGTGAAGATGATAAAATTCGTGTTAAAAATATTTTGTTAAAATTAACTGATGATATAAAAGATTCCCATATAAAATTTGTTACAAGACTTGGAACAATACTTGCATCCAATATCGATAGTGTTAGATAGTTTGATGTCTAAAGAGACTGCGATGAAAAACGCACACAAATTGAAATTAATGTCGGTTGAACTGAGTAAAGTCTGGGTTAGCAATAACCTGACACCTGAGCAGAGAAGTGAATTAAAAAAACTGGTAGCTGATGCAAAATCGAAAGAAGCGGCATGCAAAAACAATTTTTTATATAGAGTCAGAGGTCCAGTGGGAAGATGGCGAATTGTGAAGCTCAAAAATTAACTGATGAGGGTGTTGTTGATGAGAGGGCCAGTCGGAGGATGATTCATGTTACAGCTCAAAAATTAACCATGAAAAATTACAATGATTTAAAAATTGGCCTGGGACTCCTCAACATAAGATCTATAATGTCAAAGTATGAAATGGTGTGTGATATAATTCGAGGAGAATTTGATATTCTTGTATTAACCGAAACATGGCATGGGTCGTCAGATGAGTTCGCTGTTCGACGCGCGATGCCCCCTGGTTATAAGTTTGTAGATTACGTTAGACCTCACGATCCATATCATGGCGGAATTATAATTTATTTCAAGAAAGAGTTTATTTATAAACCTGTTGAATTACCCGCCGTAATAACTTTTGAAGCTGTTGCAATTAAATTGAGAGTAAACAAATCTGATTTTATTTTGTTATCAATTTATAGACCTGGATTGGTTCCTCCTTCACCATCGTTCTTTTCAGAGCTAGTTTAGTGATAAAATCGTTGTTGCGGGAGATTTTAATGTTCATATGGAGAGGAAAGATGATCCAAACACAGTCTCATTGAATGATGTTTTCGATTGTTTTCAGTTGATTAACAGATTTAGCGAACCAACGCATGAATTAGGTGGTGTTTTGGACTTGATCGTTACTTCTCGCTCTTTTCCTACCGTTAATAGTGTGATTTTTTCCAGTGGAGTGTTATCAGATCATGGATTAATCCAGGTTTGTTTGTCAATCAATCAAGTTATAGGTACGAGAAGCAAAAAAATGGTTCGATCCTGGCGACGCATAAATAAAGAAAATCTTGCATTGTTAATTTCAAAATCCCCGATTGGAGGGCCATGCCAAGATGATAATATAGAAACGCTGTTAGAGATTTTTGTAAATGAACTGAGGAGAATTGCAGACATAATAGCTTCAGAACACGTGGTTGAAAGTTGAGATGATTCGTTGACGCCGTGGTTTGATGGAGATTGTTCAAAGTCCAAGGCATACTGTAGAAAAATGGAAAGGAAGTACAGAAATACTTTTAATCATCATGATAGGGAACTGTGGAAAAATGCTCTACAATCAAAAAATATTTTATTCGCCCAAAAAAAAATTTGTTTTGGAAAAAAATTAATTTTGAAAATAACAGAAATCCTGTTAATAAGCAGTTGTGCAAGGAAAAAACTTCAAATTCATCTACCAACTTTGACGCGAACGATTTTGTTACATTCTTTTATGACAAAATTAAAAATATACGAGAATTGATGGTGTATGATGAGAAGTTTAATCATTCATCTGGTGTCTGCTGCAGCAACCTGCTTTCAGTTTTTCCTGTTTATGACGAAAGCGAAATTGTTGAAGCAGTTTTGAACTCTCCATCTAAAACATGTTCACTAGATTGTGTTCTTTCACACTTTTTCAAAAAATATGTAGGATTGTTTTCAAAATATTTGACTGATTTTATAAACTTATGTTTACGTACTGGTGAGTTTCCGGCTATGCTAAAGCATGCTACAATTTCTCCTATTTTGAAAAAGGAAAAATTAGATAATTCTGATCTTAATAATTATAGACCGGTTTCAAATTTGTTGTTCTTGTCAAAATTAATTGAGAAATTAGTTTCTAAGGAGCTTATAAAACACATAGATAAAAACAATTTGTTACCGGTATATCAGTCAGGTTATAGAAGACATCATTCTACCGAAACTGCTTTGTTGGATGTGTTATCTAAGTTGTATGAAAATATAAATGACAGCAAGCCATCTTTTCTTGGATTCTTAGATATGAGTTCGGCATTTGACTGTGTCGACCATTGCATTCTTCTGAAACGTCTTAATCATAGATTCGGAATACTGGTTCTGTCGAACAATGGTTTCGGTCGTACTTAATAGACAGAACTCAGCAGGTAATCTACAAGAATAAGACCTCTTCAGTTCAAACGATAAGATTTGGTGTTCCACAGGGCTCGGTTCTCGGACCGATCTTGTTTATTCATTACACCTATGAAATTATTGAGACAATCAGATTAAATGGTTTGGAGTGTCATGCATTCAATATTCAGCTATTCGCCACAGAATCGTCTGGCGATTTTCGTCTTGCAGTTGATCGTTTTGTTAAATGTTTCGTCGAGATCGAGAAATGGATGGCAAATAATCGTCTTAAGCTCAAAGTAATCCTAACCCTAATTGACATCAATAAACCAAAAATAAATATACAACAAAAAATGACAACCTCACTTCCAACCCGGCGCTTAACCAACAACGAAAACAAAGAAGTAATATACATATATATATATATAAATAAATATATATGTATATATATATATATATATATAAGAAAATATTCACTTTGTAAAAATGAACTTAGATGGAAATTAGGTGTCAGATTTCTTTATTGGCTAGTCCATCACCGTTGGTTTCCTTCTCTTCATCGATAGCATCATATTCTTCTTTGTCATTATTTACAATGCTAGTTTTTATTACTTCTTTGTTTTCATTGTTGATTAAGCGCCGGGTTGGGTTGGGAGTGAGGTTGTCATTTTTTATCAAATAAATATACAATAAAAAACCGTTTGATGTTTTGGTTTCCCACTGCCTCTCATATATGTATGGGTGTGTATGTGCATGTGTGTTTGCGTGTGTGGATGACCGTTATTAGTTGTAAACACATTTTATAACAAACTTTTTCATAGAACCTGCATGCAGTACACACACACACACAATCACATACACACACTTGCACACACACGCACACATAAATGCACATAAAAATGGCCGATTATTGATTCAAAATTTAAAAAACCTCACTCACATACGCTCACTCACTCATTGACATTTTTTGTGGTACTATAATTTGTGAAATCTACCGAATTTCTAACGTTAGATAGTTTACAAATAATTTCATTGTGCTGTCTTTAAATTGTTCGGTAAATTCAGTACATTCAGACTGGATCAGATTCGTATCGTGGCACACCGTTAGTTCGACTACTTCTATCTTTTGGTCACGTAGAATGCCAATTTCTGGTCGGAAAGTGCTGAACAGCTGTGACATCGGTAGGACTCCGTTCGATACTATATCCGCGAATATTAGGCAGTCTATAGAAACACATGATATCAACCAATTAACTATCTCTGATAGAATTTTGTTATGTCTCTCAGTATATCTTGACAGGACCGCCACCGACCCACAATTGGACATTACATGTTTATTTGTCTGGAAAAATAAAGGGGACATAGAGCATCCTGTGGTTTTAAACGACATACTTTCTCGCTAACTTGTAGAGCGTTTCGGGAAGCGTATCTAACTTCTTGGACCAACGTGTTATTTGAGATGGAGATATTGTCGCTGCTACCTGCTATTTGATAAGGGCACCTTGACTTTGCAGAAAAATAATGTGATTCCAACAGGCATTTATTCGGCTTTTTTTAAAGCTTTTCAGTGACTGAGATGCTGAGACCAATTCTAAAAGCAAGGTGTCAGCTTTTTTTGTAATTTATTGCCGTTTCTCTCCAAAGACATCGAATATCTGAATTCGCACTTGTTTTAAAATAGTTTCGGGGTTTAATTCTCATTTCCAGCGCAGAAACAAAACAATGTTTCGGCCTCCAACTCTTAATGACAATAATTTAAAATCTCTAATACACAGTTGCTAATTGGCGTTGTTAGCCAATTTCTAACTGTTTCAATCACTAGGTTGTCTAAAGTGTTTGCAATCTATGTCAGGGAGAAGCTGTAGCTCCGTAACTCCAATTTTACTTGAGAAGGTATGAATCTTCTTAAAATTTGCAACTTCATTTGTGCCGAAATCTCGAGATTAGTCGTGATCTTCAGCAGCCGTGCTAATTTCGAAACCAACTCTTCTTTGGCTTTTGTATCCTTTAATTCCACATCATATATTTTACCCAGGTATTTGAAACCCAAGCCCAGGTTTACAGTCGGAATGGGCACATTGTCAGAAATTGATTGATCGTATGAGCTTTTTTTCTTCCTCATTCCAGACACGCAGCACTTGTCTACCCTCATCTGCATTCCAGACCATTTGCACCAGGCTTGATTCAAGTCAATCAATCTCTGCGCATTCATCGTGGTATCTGATATAACAGCCGTATCATCGGCAAATTGCAACCATGATCTAGATTTTACTTCACATGCCGGCCTCCATAGATAACCACATTGCCTATATTTTCCAAGATCATCATTAGAGGATTGAAGCAAAGATTAAATAATAAGGGAGAGCATGGGTCTCCTTGTAGAACTACTTTTCTAACCGGTAGCAAAGATGTAAGTTTATCGTTGATTGACACAGTTATTGTGTAGTTAGCGTATATGGATAGAATTAAAGCATGAAATTGAGTTAGCATTTGTGTGTGCTCAGCTAGACCATCTTTAATAGGGTAGAAGCCTTTTTGCGTGTCTGTGTTGATAAATTTATTCTTTTGGAAAAAATTGTGTAATCTATTTTTTATTAAAGTTGAAAATATTTTATATAGAACTGGTTGGAGTGTAATTGGGCGGAAATTGGCTGGATCGGCTGTATCCCCTTTCTTGTAGATTAAAATTGTTAAACCGCAAGCCAGCAAGATGGAATAGTTGTAGCAATCTAACATTTAACTCTTAATTTGTGAAGATATGTGCAAGATATTGGACACCTTTTCATGGCAATTGTTGAAATTGTTGAAATTTGGTCGAGCGGACACGGCTCGAACAAGTAGTGTCCGCTTTGGCTTTGCATCTCCGAACGATGGCAGTCGTACGTTGGTTGTTCCTGATCGCCTGTGAATGAAGGTTCCGGAAGAGATGGAATCCAATCAGGGAATTCAAATGTTTTGAATGATTCCACTGACAAACCTTTGCGGAAAAAATTTTCGCCGTCGATCACATTGAATTTCGGAGGTACCTTTACTGATGCTGAAAATGTTGACTTGGATGTTTTCCAAAAGTTATTATTAAATTGGGATGTAGTTTTGTTGGAACACATTTTAGTTGACGATTTTAATTTCAATTCATTACGAATAATTTTGCTTAGTTGAAATATTTTTTCGCTGACAACATTTTTACCATTTTGCGCCTTTAATTTCATTAATTTTTTTTAACTAGTTGATTGAGGCGTTTGTTGTCGCGTTGTTTGTTGATTTATTTTGTACGAGACCCTAGTTTTTGGCGTAGTATGTAGTATGAGTAGATTATCTGCTGAAAGTGGGTAGGAAAATCATCAATGTCCATGTCATTTAAGCATTGCATTTCAATGTAGAAGGCTATGTTGGCTTCAGTTTTTGGCGTAGTATGTAGTATGAGTAGATTATCTGCTGAAAGTGAGTAGGAAAATCATCAATGTCCATGTCATTTAAGCATTGCATTTCAATGTAGAAGGCTATGTTGGCTTCGGTCCATTTTGTGGTTGATTTAGGCAGTCTGACGCCTGGAAGAGGCTGCGGGACAGTCATCTGAGTAGGTTGATGTTTGAAATCAAAACAGTTTGAGCTTGAAGAAACGGATGATTCTTTAGAGTCGACATTTGTCCTGAGGGATTTAAACATTTTACATGATCTTTGATGCATTTTTAATCCTTTTCTGTCCCTGCAGGATCTGCCACAACTACAGAACAACGTATTATTTAAATTATTTTCAAAATTATTTTCAGGATTACTATTGGTATTTAACAGACTAGACAAAATATTAATGTTTGCAGAATTGTTTACAATAGTAGATTCTATATTAGTTGCCTTTGTGCACTGCCAGGAGTGTCTGCTAAGAAAAATTAAATCTTTGAAACATTGTAGCTTCTATTAAACTTATTTGATTTATAATTATTAATAAACAAATTAAATTGTAAAAAATCCAATTTTTATTAAAATTCTGAATTAAAACGGCAGCCATAATCACAAGAATTTTGCGCAACTGTTAAACCAAATTTAAACTTTAAAACGTCGATAAAAACACCAATTATTGCTCAAAAACAGTAAGTTACGTAAAAGCGACTTTCTTGTTTATTAGGCAACGCAATAATAATAATAATAATAATAATAATAATAATGAAAACTCTTTTATTGATCCCAAAACTTTAAAAGCAAATGAATAAAATAGATGAAATAAAATAATATGGCGTCAATGAAATTATAAAATTAATAAAAGTGTATGTAGACCCCACAGCTCATTGCGTTGGCAAGTGTAGCGCGGTAAAATATATTTAAAAGTTAGTATCATGGCATGTCTCTATTGCAATAAATATTGTACGAGGATCTTATTAATTCACTTATTAATTTGTCATTGAAAGAAATCGGCCATAAAACTTTAAATAGAGAAAGATTAAAATTATTATAAAAATCAATAAGTGTTATTTCAAACGAATTTATAGTTATCGAGCAATGTTTGTAGTTGTCATTTAAACATGATTGCAATTTATTTGAATATTTATCTCTTTTATACTGTCTGGAGGATTCGAGGTTGGTTTCGTGATAGACTGTTAATTCTAAAATTTCTATTTTGTTGTTACAGAGAATGGCAATGTCGGGACGAAGGGTGTTGAACAGCTGTGTTATTGGGCGAATATCATTTAAATCTAGGTTGGCAAATATGATACAGTTGGTTGGAGCACAGATTTTTAACCAGGTGATGATCGCGGTCAACACATTGTTGTGTCTTTCGGTGTATCTTCCTAGAGCAGACTTTGAACCGCAGTTGGAGAGCACATGTTTATTTGTCTGGCAAAGACCACACAATTTGCATAGAGGGTTTTGTGTTTTGCCCCATTTGAACAAATTCGCACTTGTTGGCAACTGCTGGACAAGATACTTTCTGGCAAATTTGTAGTGGACCTCTCTGAGATTTTCTAATGTCTTTGACCAGCATGATATGCGGGAAGATTGAACAAAATTCTTTATTTTTGAAATCAATGAACCTTGGCTCTGCAATGAAAGTAGATGATTTAAGTTAGATTCAATCCTCTCATCTTCCAGATGCTTAAGCGATGTTTTTAACGTGCCTCCCTTCGCAAGTTCATTATCAATCTTGATATAATCAATGGATGATTCTCTCCATAAACATTGGATTTCTTTGTTGCCGCTGGTTTCGAAATAAATGCGGAGTTTCAGTCTCATTTTTTCCGCTGTATTTTTCAATGAGATGATGTAATGTCCCGCCATTTTCGAAGGCAGTGATAATAGTTCCGATACGCAGCTGCTGATTGGCATGTTTAACCATTCTCTAACCGTTTCTACAATTAGGTTATCTAGGTTTTCAGATATCCAGGTTAGCGAAAATTTGTAGCTACGCAGTTCAAAATTTAGCTGTGAAGGTAGGTATCTTCTTAAAATTTGAAGCTTCTGTTGTGGGCTGACATTTAATTTTGTAGTTGTTTCCAGCAGTTGAACGACTTTTGTGTGAATCATATTTTTTGCTTTTTTATCATTGCAATCGTAGTCAAATAATTTGCCTAAATAAATGAAACCCTGGCCAATCTCTACATTGGGGATAGCTGCGTCGTCAATGGTCAATCTTGGCATAAATTGTTGATAGGTACCATCTAGTTTTCTCATTCCGAAGGAAGAGCATTTATCAACTCGCATCTTCATCTCTGACCAAATGCACCAGGCCTGGTTTAGATCAATTAGTTTTTGTGCGCCTTCAGTGCTGTGTGATGTTATTGCCGAATCGTCGGCAAATTGTAGCCATGATCTAGCTTTTAAGTCAGAGGTTGGGCTCCACAGGTAACCAAATTGTTTGTATTCCTGTTTGTTTTAAAATGTTTGTATAGAATCATCATGAGAGGATTGAAGCATATATTAAATTATATATTACAAACAATTTGGTAACCTGTGTAGCCCAACCTCCTGACTGTATAAAATCATCATGAGAGGATTGAAGCATATATTAAAAATTAATGGTGAACACGGATCGCCTTAGAGTACACCTTTTCTGACTGGTATTGCCTGCGTTAAGTCACCATTAATTGCTATTGATATTGAATAGTCAGAATATATTGAATTAATTAATTCGTGAAATGGCTGTGGAACATGATGGTATTTCAAAACGGAATTGATAAGATGAGGGTTTACTTTTCCAAATGCATTCCGTAGATCTAGCAATGCGACTACAATGGTACGTTGGTGTCTTTTTGCGTTATTTAACAAATGGGAAAACATTTGTGTATGTTCGGCCAATACATCAACTGCTGGATAGAAGCCTTTCTAGATATTGTTGTTGATAAAATTATTTTTTTCAAGAAAATTATACAATCTGGATTTTATTGAAGCGGAAAATACTTTGTATAGTACTGGTTGTAGAGTGATTGGGCGAAAATTTGAAGGGTCGCTGGCGTTGCCCTTTTTGTAGATCAGGATTGTCGACCCTCTGCGCCAGCACTGTGAAATTGTTTTTGATTTCCAACTAAATATTAATAGTTTATGAAGATATGTCCTGAGTATAGTATAGGACATCTTTTAAAAGCTATGATTGAGATTTGGTCTGACGGACATGGTGATGCTTTGGCTTTGCTTTTTCTAATAATTGTTGTGATTTCATTGTAAGTTGGAGGTTCTAAATTGTCGGTGTATGATGGGGGGGGAAGAGAAAGAATCCAGCTAGAAAGACGAAACGATGTACGGTCGCTAGGTTTTAAAATGTCATTGAAGTACTTGGTGGCGGTCTCAACGTTGAAGAGTGGAGATTGAGAGTTTGATTTTGAGAAGATGATGTTGCATGTCTTCCAGAAATTTTTTGTAGTTTTGCTAAAATATTGTTGTCGCTGTTGTTGTTAATTTTTGTAATTTTATTGCTTTTAACATTGTTCTTATTTTTTTACTCAATACATTTACTTCTTTGTTGATTGGTCCGAGCTTGAAACTTTAAGTTTTTTAATTTCATTTTCAGTTGCCTAATATCACGGTTGTTGACTGCGTTATGGGCTGTTTTTGAATTCAAGCGTACCACAGTTGGAGTATATTGTCTCCTGAAAGTTTGTAGCAAAGCTGTCAATGTCTGAGATGATATCTAGGGGTTTGAGTTCCATTTGGAAGAATGCGTTGGCTTCAGACCAATGTGATGATGATTTTGGCATTTTTATTCCTGGAAGTGGTTTTGAAATGGTAGCTGTTGTTGATGTGTGTTTGAAAGTTGTTTGCGTGCTGTCGCTGACGTCGTCTGTTTCAACTTTGGAAATGTCAGGCTTTAGTGATTTATAAGTCTTACAAGATCTCTGGTGCATTGTAAGTCCTTTCCGATCTTTACAACGTTTTCCACAGCAGCATGACAACGTAAAATCAGAAATATCCGGTAAAATATTATTATTATTTGTTAATAAATTAGGAAAAATATTAACGTTGTTGTTGTTTAAAGGAATATTTAAATTAGAGCTTGATTGTAAGTTAGTGCACCTCAAGGAGAGTCTGTTAATAAACTTAAATTCTTTAGAACAGTGCGGGCATATTGTAGCGTTGACAGCAATAAACGAATTTAAAATTAAAATTATAAAAATAAATTTATTAAAATTGAAATATTTATCAAATTCAACTTTTAAAAACACAGCCATAGTTCTCACAATTTATCCTGCAATTTAATACTAAATTTAAATATCTACAATGGCTAAATAACTTTATATTGCTAATAAAACAGTAAGCCGCGCTAAAACGACTCTCGTGTTCAAGTTGTACAGCAATAATTAATAATAATAATAATAATAATAACTACAATAACAATAACTACAATAACAATAACTACAATAATAATAATAATAATAATATCAATAAAAATAATAATAAATTGAATTAATTTCGCGCCTCAGAATTTTGACGCTGTTTTTGCCGCCTTGACAACTATCGTTCAAAAATTTTAAAATTTTTCGTTGTTTTTTTTCGTTGTTAAAATTTTTCATTAGAATTTTACGTTTCTTTTCCAAATTTATTTGTATATATTTTTATTAATATTAAAACTATAATAATATTGATCAATAAATTAATAAATAATGCCCTGACGATGACGGTTTAACGTTGAAATAGATCTATCTGCAATAATTTTAAGTTTCAATTTTAAAAAGACTCAATTTTGTTGATAAAAATTTACTAAAACAAATTGAAAAATTCGAATATAAGTTGATAAACACTAATAAATTGAGTTAAACAATATATTTATATATGTTTAACTTATTATAAATTATATAATAATTTAAATTAAATAAATTTAAATAAATATAATAAATTAACTTATTATTGTGATATTATTATAAATACTGTTGATTGATATGTAATTCGACTTATTTTTCAAACTTTTTATTACTTTATTTATTTTATCAAACTCTTTTAAATTTAAACTACGCTTTCATATTTTTTGAATTTAAGCGATTTACCAGCTGAACAGAAATTTGATGTGAACAAAGGCCTAACTGAAAACGTAAAAGAAAAAATGTTTCATTCCGCTGTGCCTTCATATTTTTCTCCTGAATATTCTCATTGGAATAATCAATCGCATTTAACGCCAAGTTTTTATGACCAACAATCCGAGATTGTTCATAAAAATAACAAAAATTTGATCATTCGTGGCTTTCATGTACAATCTATGAAAAATGAACCAATAAAAAATGTCAGTGACCAAAAAATGTGCTCACATGTGGAAAACGAAGTTTACAAAAACAAACATAATGAAATAAAGTCAAGTACTCCTCAAAGTTATACAACTTGTTATGTTCAACCTTCTAAAATATTGACAGACTTGAAATGCAGAAATAAAGCAAAAAAACTGGAGTTTTTCCAACGAGAAACAGATAAAGTATGTTATGAGCATCTAAAAAAAAGAGGTATTATATTATCAACTTCAATTTCGCTTTCTTCTGATGTATGTCAAATCAATGAAAAATTAAGAAATGAAAGCAGAAAAGAGGGTTGCAAGCGAAAAATAGAATATAGCACATTTTGCGAAAGTTCATCAAGTGATATCAAATATATACCAAGAAAAAAAAATTGCAATTATTCTAAATCGTACAAATTTAATAAATATTTGAAACCAAAATTAGCTGTTGCAAATCATCGTAAAAAATTTAAAAATAATAATATAAACAGTGATAACAGTGATAGTGACACATTTATTAAGAAAAATAATAATAAAAAAACTGATAGGACCCATTATTTCAGAAAAAGTTGCAGTAACAGTAACCTAGAAAAAAATATGAGACAAAATAAATCAAAACATAAGAATGAAGTTTATAGAGATGGCGAAAAAAAAAAATCAATAAACGAAGACAAAAAATGTAAAATTAATGACTGTGACCTTTCTAGTAAAAGCAATAAACACAGCTTAAGTGATGAGTATTTATCTGATAAAAGTATAAAAGACAAAAAAATTCCAAACAAAAGATTAGATAACGATAAATACGAAGATGCAAACAGTGATAGCAATAGTAACTATCGGAGTAGGAGCAATCTAATTAAGGAGGACGACAACACAAGCAATGAAAATGATCAAACATTTTCAACACATCGAAATATTGAAAAATGTGTTTTAAGTAAAGATTATTACGCCCGATGTTTATGTGGTAGTCCTCCCAATTCCAATTGCGTTTGTCAATTTAAAAACCTCAAAGAACGATCAAAATTTCTTCGCAATTGTTTTCCAAAAATAGTAAAATCTTGCCAATCGGGATCAAACATTGGAAGAATTTATGAAAAAAATCAACACAAAACATGCCGCGTGAATTCTAAATTATTGAAAAGAAAAAAATGTTTATGTAGGAATGAGGTAAATGAAACTGATTCATCTAATGAATCTCATTATTGTGATAGTAACAAATTTGTTAAATATACAGATAGAACAATGAAAAATTGTCAAATTCCAATTAACACTAACAAAATATTGAAAGCTAAAAGATTTTTTTCAGGAATGGCAAATATCAAACCTTTTTATAATAAAAGATTTTATAATGAGCAAGTGAATACACTCCGCCCTCAAAGTTATTCCCGCAATCATTGTACTTTCGATTTTGTAAGAAGATCAAAAGTAAATAATGGAAGTGGTAACTGCTTGAAATATGTTAGTGACATTAATCTTTTACATAACCAACAACTTTACCAAAAGTGTAAACCCCGTTTTAAACGAAAAAGTAAATATTTGTGTTTTTCTGCAACAAAACAAAACTCTAATAGATCAAATTATTTTTCGAAAAATGGAAACTGTGCCAAATCAGCATCTTACAATTCTGATCCAATTCATTATGCAAAATGCATTACATCTAATTTTAAATATGATGTACAGCCAAGGTGCAGAAATATTAATAGTGGAGTACAAAAAAATCTTACTCAATACCCTTTTTTAAATTCAAGCCGTGTGGCGACTTGCAAAAATATTTTGTATAATAACTCCTTTTGTTTTTCTGGACTGGAATCATACCGTAACAGTTCAAGTTGTAATCAATCTATTGAAAACAAAAGTAATCAAACCTCAAGCGATATAATCAAACATGAAAAAAAAAACAAATGTGGTCAAGATTGTTTTAGTTTGAGAGGGAGTCAATCAAGATATAGTGAGCAATATAACAACTATAAAATAAATGAACAAAATTCTTTAAATCACAGCTCAAATATATTAAGTGATTCAGATTTTACGCCGAAAAATAAATTTGACAAAAATAACAATGAGAATGAAAAAAATTACGACGGGAAATATGAACGAAAATCAGTTGTTGATTTACCAAAATTTAAATGTAAATCGTGTTACAAAGAGGACAATCAAACTGATTGGCATCGTGAAAATTTTATAAAAAATTATAGTAACGAAGAACAAAATTCAGAAAACATCCAAAGATGGCATTCACGCAATCACCGCAACAATGGGGAAGAGCAAACCAAAAATTCCACTGACAATGAATTTTTAGCAAAGTTGTCAAAAGAGCACAAAGAAATTTTTACTTCACAACAGAGCAATAGGCATTGGCATACGTTATTAAGACCAAAAATGTGTGATACATTAAGAACAGTTCAGAAACAACCGGTCGTTGCTCCTGAAAATAGGTGCGAAAAATTATTTCCCAACGAACTTTTGAATTTAAATACTGAACTGAACCCATATAATTTACAAACTATCAACAAAACAAATAAAATTGTTCACGCAAACACCTTCTGTCAAAAAGAACTAAATAATCAATATAGCCACGATAATAAAGATATAAAAAATATTTTTCACACGGAACATTACAACGCTGATTGTTTTTCACTAGAACAACCTAATTATTGGAAAAAATCTAACAATTCATCTGATGCTACGAATAAACTTGCAGACAACAATGAAAAAAAATATCCATTAATAAATTTACCTCCGTTGGCACATAACATTGAAGAAGACTTGGAATGGAAGCAACAACCGGCTTTAAAACATAAATCTTCACAGATTTTATTTTTACAAAATCTGCAGTTTCAGTCTGGAAAAAATGAAATGCAATGTCGGCAGCCAGTTGAATGTTGGCAAAATAATCAACAGAAGCTTAACGAGGTAATTCAAAATATCGAATATCAAGAAGATTCGAAAAATCATTTAATGTCAACATTTCGAGTGCCGGTAATAAATTTTTCTGATTTTTCAAACAATTTGCAGCAATCAACTGAAACAAGGTTTTCGGCTAATGGTAAATTCATGAATCTAAATAATAAAACTCGCGAAAGATTGCTAGAAGCACTTGAAGCAAAACATCTTCAACCAAGTCAAGAACTTTTTACCAACGATGATACATGTTTGAATGAAACTTCTAATGGGGATGTAAATAGAGAAAGATGGAAAACAATGAGTTTTAATGAAAAAAAAAATGCTTCATCAAAATTCCTCAATAAAATCAAAAATAAAAATAGTAGTTTAAAGGATAAGCATTGGTTTAATGATGCAACTGAAATTGAAAATTCCACAAAGCATGCACTACATGCTAATAAAAATTTTTCAAAATTAAACAAATATGGAAAACAAGAAATAGGAGTTGCCAGAAAACGCAAATGTCATTTAAGACGAAAAAGAATATTCTTTAACCAGCACCCTATTCAAGATGTTGATAGGCCAATGGACACTTTTTCTAAAACAGGGAAAATTAATTTACGGTTTCAAAATATTAAAAATTGTAAAAACAAGTCTAAGCAGAGAAACATTTTTAAAAATGGCTTTTTGCGGTTTTTTAAACGCAAGTCAGAAAATAACAGCGCAAAAACCCATGATTCAAAAGATTCAGATTCTAGCTACTCAAACAATAATAAAAGTATAAGTTTTTCTAACGAATATTTGTTCAAAAATAATCAAACAAAACAGAAAAGTCTAAACAATTGTGTTTCTTTGAAAAAATTTAAGGTTAACCCAAAAACAATAAGATATTTCATAAGTTTAAACGATGATTCTAAATTAGCAGAAACATTAAATAACTTGCGTGATGATAAAGAAATAAACAAATGCCAAAATAACAATGCTCAAGAGCCCGCAAATTGTTGTTGTTATGAAAATCATCCACATGAAAAAAATGGAGTAGTTATTGATGAAAATATTAGTTTAAAAATCAACAAACCTGTTTATGCTGAATTATCAAATCTAAACATTCAATCTTCTTCTTCATTATCTAGAGCTTCTTTTTCGAAAAAAATACCTAAAAATAATTTTTCTGCATCTTCTAGCATGTTTTTTGATGAATTTTCTAAAAAACATTTAACATATAATTTTATTAATACTAATTCGGATCGAAATTCAACTCTTTCATCAAAAGAAATTAAATTAAGATTAAGTAATTGCATTGGTGAAAATAAGCGAATCAGCACAAAACGTTGTGAAAATAAAATAAATCGGAAAATCTCTGATAAATCCAAAAATAAGCTCTTGCATACCAAAATTATTTTGAAAAAAAATGCAGAAAAACAAAGTTTACTTAATAAAGATAAAATAATCATTCCAAAACTTGATTTGAGTTTTCTTGGTGATGATGATGAAAGCGTAAATTTATCAAAAAAAAAGTCGGTTTATTCTTCAACTGAAAATACTGAAAAAGCTGGTGAAATTTTTAAAAACAATCAATACAGAAAGGATCATAATGAAATGATGGAAGATAATATAGTTATAAACAGCATCAAAGATCTAAAATTTGAACAATCAAATCCTAACAAATATGCAAAGACTGATTTTATTCAAAATGATGCTTTCATGCAAACAGACGAGCTGCTGCCAACCAATGAAAATTCTTCCGTCTGTTCGGAAAATAAAATAATAATAGCTAAACACGATGCCCAACAAAATTATAATTTTTCTGAAAAAATAAATAAATCGACAAATCCAAAATTAAATAAAAATAATGAGAACAGTGATCAAATTGTTAATTTTAAAGACCAACATTCAGAAAAAATTGTTGATCATTTAAAAAAATTAAACTTTATATATTTTGATAAATTTCGGTCTAATATAAAATTAAATCAAGAAAATAATCCAAATTCTATAGCAAAAGCAGATCAAAAGATAGGAAATTTTAAAAAATTCAAACCCTTATTATCAAACTGTTCTCAACAAAAGTCTTTTTCTTCATATTTGAAAAAAGGCAGACTTCCCATTTTTACAAATTTGGCAAATCAAAACCATTTTGCCAATCAAAACCATTTTACTAACAATGTCAAAGATTTCGTCAATCAAAAGCATTTTACTGACTATGCCAGCAACAACGACTATAATCAGTTTAACTCAAAAGACATGTCCAATTACCATATTTCTCAAGACCGTGACAAGCCGACAGCTTTTGTTTCGTTCAACTGTTTAAAAAATCTGCATAATGGTTGCTATGCGGCACATAATAAAATTGAAAACAGTAAATCATGTGATGAATTCAAACGTTTGGTTCCAGCAAAAAAGGTTTTATCAGATGCAAATACTTTCGCAACCAACTCTGCAGATCCTAGTGACATGTTTCAAAACATACCAGTAAATACTTTAATAAGAAAAGTTTCTAGGTCTTTACAACTATTGAAATTTAAAAAATATAAAAATTTAAATAAAACAAAAAACAAACACAGATTATCATTTATAACACCTTTGCAGTACAAAAAAACTCACGAAGGAAACAATGATTACAAACAAATAAAACAGGACGGAAAAAATGCAAGCCCTAACAAAAAACTGCTGTCAGTAAGTACAACTAAAAAAAAAGATACATTAAAAAACAAAAATTTCAAAGCAATGACCTTAATAAACAAAAAGTTGTTTTATAATAAACATATAAATCCTCGTCAACAGCACTCGAATAAGCAACAAAATATTTTCCAGCAAAAAAACTGGCAAAAAATTTTCGACAATTGCTCAAATGAAAAATATATAAACTTTATATTAAAACATTTTTTGAGTCGTAATATATTAAAAATAGATTCACTTAAAACTTTGAAGCATTTTCAGAATCAGAATATCAAAGTAAATGTTGAAGAGCAGCTAACCCGCTCACGGCTTAATGAGCCAAAAAATCAATACACTAAAAGTTTAAACAAAATTGTCGACAGTATGTATATAGCAAAACCTTCTCAGAAAAAAGCATTTAATTTAAAAGAAACTAGACAGTTTTTCAAAGAATTATTTGAAAAATATAAATCAGGTTATTAAATAAAAATGCTTCTATTTTAAATTGTAAATAACAACAAACATAATTTTTAGATTTATGGTTCTTGTTACAAAATTATGTGTACTGGTAAATCTGGTTCATTTTTTTGACAAAACAATCCAATACAGACTTTAAAACAATGTCAAAACAATGTCAAAACATTTGTATTTAATTGATGTTATTTTTAAACAAATTACAACTTATTTCTTTTTGACTCACGTTTACAAATAATTGAGATAATTAATGTCTTATCTTACAAGCATATATATTTGTTAAGTTCTAGGTGCACAGCTAGCTCAAATTCGTTCTAATCTGTAATTATAAATATAAAACTGCAAAAATGGTTAGATGAAATTTCGGATTAGTTTGTGGTGGACATGGAAACTTTTAATTTAAAAATATGGCAAAAAGAAAAACAATTTTTATTTTAAGAGCGGCGTGATGGTTTTGTGGTAACAGTCGGATGGTTCTGTTTAGCTCTGCGGCAACGAGGACGCTTTTTAATGATTATGAGTTTATTCAAATCATTAATATTAATTCTTATTCAAACTATTACAGTTTTTGACTGTGTCATCCATAATCTGCTTTTGAAATGTTTTGGAAAAAATGGGATTAGCGAAACATTTGATAAGCTTAATCAAAAGCCTCTATAGAAAACAAGAAGCAACAGTGCGCACAATATATGGAGAAACTAAACCATTTGAAATTCAAAAATAAGTGAGACAAGGATATTGTCCCCTTTTGATTTAATTTGTATGCTGAAATGGTAATAAGAAATTCCGTACTAGAAGATCTTAAAACTGGGAACCGTATTGGTCATAAACAATCTTCTATAAACCGTTGATACCACCCTGATGGCTGTAAAAAATCAACGTTAAGAAATTTAATTATAAAAGTAAAATTTACAAGTAAAAAAGGCAGGCATGTTATTATATATTGTAAAAATAAAATTATGATGAACTGCTGCACAAAATCTTTCAATGTTGAGGAAAAAGCTTTTGAAATTTTCAGAGAATTTAACTTTCTTGGATCATTGATCAATGTGAAAGGTGAATAGAGCAATGAAATCAACAAATAATAATTCTAAGACGGAAGGCAATGACCAATCTAAATAAGATTTGGAGGTCTAAGGAAATTTCCTTGACTACTAAGTTGTCAAAATTGTAATTGAAATAAAAAAACGCGATAACGCATTTATTTTTATTTATGGTGCTTCAAAAAGAATTAGTAGAAAATTGAACATGTCATAAAACCATTAAAATATTATATAATGTTAAAGAAAGGTAACATTTCTATTAAAGTCAATTTCTAAAAAAAATGAATTTTCGTTTGGGCAATTCATCGATTCGCGTTTTACATATGACAATAAATTGAATGAAACAGACGGTACAACTAGAAATAAATCAATTAAAATTTGATCATTAACCTCGGCAAAAAACGAATTATATATTTGTAAAGAAGAATATCAACGCCCATTAAAAAATTAACGATTAACATAAATCTTATTTGGCCACTTTTTGAAACAGCGATTAAACGCGAAAAGTCTGCAAAAATAAGTTAACTTTTTACTAACTGTGCACTTGAAAATAAATCTGTCAAAATTTGTAAGTCGTAGTTGACATTTTGCAATTTGCATAATATGAATGAAAAATGAAATCTTATGTGGGCTCTTCATAAAAATAGCAATTAAACACGAAAAACAAAAAGTGCGAAAACATGTTTATGTACTGTGCATTTGAAAATTAATCGGTCAAAAATTGTAGATTATAGTTGGAATTTTGTCATTTGCATATTGTTAAAAATAATAATTTATTGAAATTATTAAATATGTAATATCTAACATTTATGTAAACATATTGTGGTTTTTTGGCACGCATATTGAATGTGCATGTGTTGGTCGAATGGTGGTTTGGTATGCATGCTGGTAGAATGTTGTGTGAACTGGTTTTGTATGCATGCTCAAAAAATGTTGTGTGAATTGGTTTTATGTGAATGTTGGTATGCAGTGGCAAATTTAGGAAGGGGCTGGGGGAGCCATGGCCCTCCGCAAAAAAAGGCCCTTTCTACCGTAAACGTTATATCATCAGTTCAATTCAAGACGGCGTTAAATAATAATAAAAAAATTGAGATCGACTCTTTTTAACAACAAAAAACAACGCTGGTTTATTATATAAATTTGATACAAGATTATTTCAGAATATAATTCATATTTTAAACTTAAATAGTGTTTAGCGGCACAAAATAAAAATAATTAATGTTTTCTTAGTATATTTTTTTATTGATAACTAATATCAACAAAAAGTAAATAAAAAAATATTATAGTTTTTACTTATTTAGACTTTTCATAATTTTATGTTATGTTCGCTGTTCATATTTTATTCCATTTACAATTTAGCGCGTCTTGTATTATTTTTTTGTGTTTCAGAAAATCAGTTTTCATTTGAATTCGTTTTAAAATTAAAAAAAATGTCTTTTAAAAAAGTACTATTTTAAACTTTTTTCAACCGACTCCGGCAAAAAAAACAGAAGCAGTGCGATGATCTCAATACAGTTTAGGCCGTTATTGGTAATACCTAGATATTTCATTAACGGTCGAACGAGGTGTGCTTCAAGGCAATCCCGTCTTTCCATTGCTCTTTAATCTATGCTTCAACCCCTTAATGAAAAAACTCAAAGAAACCGAATTTCAACAGTGTGGTTACATATGGGGCCCGACAGCAAGTCTTAGAACAAGAGCATGGTTGCAGTTTGCGGATGACAGGGCAATCATCGCCAACAACACTGAAAGTGCACAGAAACTTATCAATGTAAACAGGGCTTGGTGCAATGCAACCGACATAAAACAAAGAATCAACAAATGCTCAACATTTGGCGTGAGGACATGAGGAAAAATAAACGGTTCCTACGAACGATTTCTTCCGATGCTGGCCATCGATGAAAAACCAATTCCTCAGGTCAACATAGGTGGACACTTTGTTTATCTTGGCAGGGTTCTCGATTTTGAAAACAACAACAGTAAGGCTAAATAACAGTTGGTTGGAAAGCTGAAAAATTTGTTGTCAGTGATAAACAATCTTGGCACTACGGCAAACTGGAAACCACAAATTCTACGTAGATATATACCGTCGCGATTGGCATTTGAGTTGCGGACATACAACATTTCCTTGACTTTGATAAGCAACTGCCTTGACTTTCTCATTGTTAAGTCGGTGACTTTATGGCTATCGCTGCCAATCATCAGTTAAGTGGCGGAATGCTTGTCTCTCCCCTACAAAATGTGAAGCTTGAACATTAGGTCTCAAACACTATGCCGAATCTTTGCAGATCAAATTACGCAATTATTTAAAAGCAATGATGAACTGAAGTGTTTATGGTCCGAATCGTTCAACAACTATATTGCGATTGACACCCAGCTCCCTGATTAAAGCGATATCAAACCGACGCTCAATGCGACAATCCTTCGGCAACAAAGTGCAGAATTTGCACAAATGACTTCACTCCGTTGTCAGGGAACAATAATCAAAGCAATTGCTCACTGGTCACATTACATTATGAGCCTTTCAGAGGTTCTGTTCAGATTTGTCCGGAAAGGTTTAATTCAACAGATGCCAACCTGTACAGATGGGGAAAGTTCTTTAAGTTCAGGACCACAACAAGCGTAAAACAAAAAAAAAATCACGGAACGAAGAATTTTTAACAACAAAAAATGAAACGTACTGCGAAGTCAAAAAATAACCCGACCGAGGACGATGATGTTGTGATAGTTGACCCGGTACAAGCCGCGCTGATAAGAAAATCGAGGCTAATGAAAGAAACAGCAGAGGAAGAAAAAAGGATAAAATTACACTTTACTTTACAGACAATGCAGAAGCAGCTAGAAACCGAATGAAGCTGGAGGAGAAAGACAGGAGGTTACGCAGAGAAGCTGAACTGCAGATGAAAAATCATGAAAACGAAACTCCCCAAAAAGACCAAACTGCCAGTATAATTCGAAAATTCAGCCCATTGCTAGAAATTTGCCCGACGGATCTAAGGGAAATATCAGCATATTTTCAGCGGATTGAAGGAATCTTCGAGAACCATAAGAATTGCTGAAGACTTTTCGAGCAGAACTGTTGTTAACAAGTTTGGAGATGAAGATAAAGACAGTTTTGAATGAGATAAAAACGGAGGACTATAGGAACTATGTAGCCATCAAGCAGCAAACCATACGTTCTTGTCAATTCTGCCCGATGAAGCTTCGAGATGAGTTCTTAGCTAGGAAGAGATCTGATGAGACCTTCCCTGCTTTTGCTTCAAGACTACATCGACACCTACGGTTCTATTTTCAAAGTCGTAGGATTGAAACTCTAGATCAAGGTTTATCTTTGTTGGTTGTGGACAGAATGAAGAAATTGTACCCAGAAATTTGTTGGAACTTGTGCTGGCTCAGGAAGGAGAGGATTGGTTACCGTATGATTGCATGGCTAATATCCTTGAAATATTTGAAGCTAATATGAATATGCGTTTGTGAACCAATGTCGCCTCAAGTTACAAACCGCCCTCCACATCACTCCAGCTAGGAAAGGGTTTGAAATGGCCCAAGAAAGAGGACAAAGGGGGACCAATTTCTAAGGTGGAATGTTACAACTATGGAAGTACTGGATATCTTGCCAAATTCTGTACACAGAAGGCCAAGGATAAGAAACTTACAAGGAAGATCATGAAATGCCAAGTCATCGCCACGTTTCAGTCGAACTAGAATTTAGATGTAAAGGCTGATTTGACCATCCAGGCAGACAAATACTTCCAAAGACCATTCAAAGTCAAAATTCAAGCCAGGCCAGTTTGTAAAGCATTGGTAGATAGTGGAACCAAAGTTTGTGATATCTAGCAGTGCCTATGTCAGAAGCTGGAACTTTTTCGAACAAAACGGATGAGGATCAAAAGATGGAATGGACAAACCACTGAGGTTGATGGTGCACGGATGATGTTGACTCCCAACCATAATGAAGGGAAAAATATCGCATCTGCTGTCCGGTTGTGGTGTGCACTGATTCCTAACGGCAACTATCAATTAATTATCACACCGAAAGTGGTAAATTTGTTGAACATGGCAGAAGAGTATGTGGTACCTTCTATGAAACCTGGAATCACAGAAGACAACACCTCAGTAAAGATTGCCGATGATAGGGCATTGACGTTTTACAACATTGACGATCCAAAGTTAAAGTGCCTAGAGAGGTGTGGACGGCCAGGTAAACGTAATGTCGGAGATGCTACTGATGATGAAGAGGACGGTAATGTTAGCAACAATAATAAGGATAATACTAAAAATAATAAGCAGCAGATAAATAAAAATAGTAATGATTATAATGAGGTTACTACTACTACTACTACTAATAATAATAATGTCTGCGATGTTGATGAAGAGGAATATGAAGTTATTAATGATGTTAGGATTCAAACAGATGAAGATGAGGGACTGGCATCTTTTTGCGACATAATATAATGGCCTCCCATCTTTGCTTGTAGCAAAGTAAGTTTGGCATATCTAGCTAATTTTGAACAGCTTAAACAATTAAATTATCCAGGTTTTCAGCTATGCAAATCAATGAAAAGCAGTAACTGCAAAGTTCAAAATTCAGCTAAGAGGGAACAAATCTTTTTAACATTTGTAGTTTTTGCTGGAGGTCCACATATAACTTTGAAGTTTTCTCCAACAGCTGAATGACTTTTAACTTTAACTCAGAACATCTTGCATTCTTTATCGTATGAAAGAATATAGGTATATGAAATAATGACCAATCTCCACGTTAAAAATTTGTACATCATCAATCGTTAATCGGGGCAAAAACTGATCATAGGTGTCATTGTTTTTCTTTATTCCAAACGAACAGTATATATCAACTTCCATTTTTATTTCTGACCAGTTATACCAAAATCGATTTAAATCTATCAGTTTTTGTGTTCCATCAGTGCCGTGTGCTATAATTGCCGAGTCGTCGGCAAATTAGAGCCATGATCTAGTATTTATGTCGGAAGTTGAGCCCCAGAGATAGCCATATTGTTTATATTCATTACTGTCTAAGATTTTCATAAGAGGATTAAAGCAAATATTAAAAAGCAGCGGTGAACATGGCTCACCTTGGAATACACCTTTTCTAACCGGTATTGCTTGCGTCAATTTACCATTAACAGATACTGATATAGAATAGCTGGAATATATTGACGTAATTAGATTATGAAATAATTGTGGAACATGGTGATATTTTAAGATCGAAGTGGTGAAATGATGGTTTACTTTTCCAAAGACATTTCTCAAATCTAGTAATGCAACAACAATGGTACGTTGATGACGTTTGGCATTTTTTAATAGATGGGTTAGCATCTGGGTGTGTTCAGCTTTTCAGCTTGTTCATCAATAGTTGAGTAGAAGCTCTTTCGTATATTTCCGCTGACGAAGTTGCTATTGTAAAAAAACTGTAGTCTTGATTTTATATGAGTTGGAAATATTTTGTAGAGTATTTTAATGACCCTATGGGAAAGCATCATTCGTACAAAAAATTAAAAGTCTGCGACTTTATCTCGAGGTAGCGCACCCTGAAGGCATTTCATAAAAAAATTGTATTTGTACTTCTAAAAAGAAAATATTTTTTCAATGCGCTTAAGAACTTATTTGTCTTTGTTATTTGTTTTAAAAAATTTGCTTGTTAGGCACGTGATGTAAACAAAATTTGTTGTGGGACAAAGTATTGAAATCAATATTTTAAAAATGCCTAAAACTCGGAAAGATCTGAAGTGCCCTGTGTTTGGTGATCCAGCAAAACTAAGTAATAATATGTTACCGACATATTGTGATGATCATAAACCACTTGTGGATAAGAAACGATATGCTCGAGCTCAACAATGGAAAAAATCCTTCAGTTAAAAATTTATGTGAAATGATAGCTACTAGCAGCGAACAAATTTGGAACAAAACATCCATTCCGACCATTAGTCATCAACAAGTCGTCGCAAAGTTGATTTTGTATATAAGTACAAAGGTGTAAAAAAAATTACGCGACAATTCAAAAAAACGGAAAACTATTACTGAAGAGCATATTTTTCTCTTGTCAGAGCCAGATTCTGAATACATCGGTCATCTCTCCATTGATTCTGGAAAAGCAAATACGATTGAAAAAAGTATTGTTGATTTTTTTGAAATGAAATTTGAATTTCGTTTTTCCTTGGTGGCAATTGGATGCGATGGCACAGCGGTAAACACCGGACACAAAAATGGAGTCATTGTTTTACTAGAAAAACACATGAAACGACCTTTGCAATGGTGTGTGTGCCTGTTGCACGCAAATGAATTACCGTTTCGCCATTTGTTCTTCAGTCTTGACGGTACTACAACAGGCCGTAATGGCTTTTCTGGCAGCATAGGAAAAAGGTTTGCCAACTGTCTTGACTTTAAAGTAGAAGCATTTTGAACTAATCCCAACAGAATTGCCAGACCTGAATACTGATTTGCTAAGCACCGATCAAAAATATATGTCAGATGTGCTCCGCAATTTCAGCTGGTACAGTATCACCAAACTTAGCTATTAAAGATCCAGGAAAACTGACACATTTTCGATGGTTGACTTGCACAAACAGGATTTTTCGGTTATATATTGGAACAGCTAACCCGACGGAAAACTTGAAAGAATTAGTCAAGTTCATCATGAAAATTTACGCACCAACCTGGTTTAATATCAAGACAAAATCATCTTGTAAATATGGTCTAATTCATGTGTTCAACATGGTTAAAAGATGTTTGTATTTATGTGATGACCTAAAAAACATTGTCTTTAAAACCGTTCAAAAAAATGCTTTTTTCGCTCATCCAGAAAATATATTGCTAGCTATGTTACAAGATGATGCAGAAAACATAAGAGAACTGTCTCTTCGGAGAATTTTAAAAGCAAGAAAAGAATCCAAAGGGAAAAAAGTTCGTGAATTCAAACTTCCAAAACTTAAGATTGATGCATCAAGGTGTTATGATTTAATAGATTGGGCGATAGAAAAAATAACAGAACCTCCACCCACAATGAAATATAGCAACATAGAAATTTCAAATGACATTTCTTCAAAATGTCTCCTTGAAATTGAAAAGTATCCTTGCCACACTCAGTCAGTAGAAAGGTGCGTCAAGCTCGTGACATTATCTGTTTGTGGACCAGAATCTAGAGATGGATTTATTTGAACCAGAATAAAAGCCAGGTAAGATATTCAAATATTCAACACCAAATCTCAGTAAAAAAGAAGGTGCGGAGACTTTGGAATTACGACATTAGGACAATTGTTTTTATGTTGATTTAATAATAACTATCGAATGTACATGTAATTTTAAGTACCGAATATAAAACATATAGAAACATTGTGTAAAATCAAGTTTTGTCAGTAAATCAAAAGTTGATTATTTTCAAAGTTTAAACCAAATGCGCCACCTGAAGATTTTGATTTAGAAAGCTAAAATTTTTCGTTGAATATTTATTATTGGATGTCTTTGTTCTATGAGTATTGATTCGGCTAGTTGTAAATTATAATGGTTGTTATTGTAATGTAAGATTTTAATATTGTGGTCCAGGATTTGTCCAGTAATTTTATGTGATTCTTAATAGCGCCAGTTTTTACGTGCATCATGAGTCTTCTTGATAGCTTAGTCGTCGTCATACCAATATATTCAGAATTATGGTGCCCACACTCACCGATACTACAATGGAACAAATATATTAGATGGCTATGATCCATTATCGATTCTGGTTTACTAGTGCAGTTGTTTTTCATCACAGGAGATGACGTTTTTTGGTTGGAGTAGTATATTCGTAGTTTAATTGCTTTAATTTAACCGTAGTTTAATCATTCTCGTTGATTGCTTGAACGTTATTTTTTATGATATTTAACAACGGGCAATTGAAATTTTTCCCTCCAATAAATTTAGAAACAGAGGAATCATCGATGATGAAAACACGTAAAGTGTTATATTTATCGATAATGAAAACACATAAAATTGTTATATTTATCGATGATGAAAACACGTAAAAGTGTTATATTTGTTTGCATCAATCCACATATGCGTGCTCGAACGGCAGCTTCAGCTCTTCCAGTACAATCTAGAACATCCTATAGATATTGAAACGATGGAACTTTCTCAACCTTAATGGCTTCAAAATCATTGCTATTTCGAATTTGTTTTTGTGGATTGATGCAAGAAGGACAAACAAAATTGGACATTTTAGATAAAGTACCAATTATGTTTTAACAACGTTTGTGACACCACTGGTAACACTGCTGACACTTGATTGAATTGTTAACTACACCAGCTTTACTGAACAGGGCTTATCATCCAGTAGCTGTGGATTGGATGAGTTTACCAGTGTTTATTGCTTTGGTTTATTGCTTTGGTTTTGCTGATGTTGACATTGAATCCATGATCGGCGAGTCTGATGTTCAAATCTTCAAACATCTGTACTGCATTCTGCTCAGACGTGGCTGTTAAAACGATATCATCAGCATATACTAGATTCCAAAAGTCACCAGTGCGTATCGGTTTTGTGATTTCTTCCATCACAGTTATAAATAACAGTGGACTGAGAATTGAGCCTTGGTGAACTCCAACGCCAATGTCAAATGCATCTGTGTTTCCAACCGTTGTACTGACGGGAGTCTTAGTATTTGTATACATTTCCATCACAAATCGAACAAAATATTCTGGAATGAGTTGTCGACGTAGACTCAACCTGATTGCTTCACGGGGAACTCGATCAAATGCTTTTTCAAGGTCTACAAAAATGTGTGATAGTTGTTGATGCTTTGCGAGATACTTTTTTTGCAGTTGTCAAAGGATGTAAATTGCATCAATTGTTGATTTCCCCGCTAGGAAACCAAATTGATAATTTCCGATTGTGATGCACGACGTTAATCTTTTCTCAATGATTTTCTCGACATTTTTCAGGGAGTGATTTAACAGACGTATACCCCGATATGATGAACAGTGTTTTAACAGACGTATACCCCGATATGATGAACAGTTCAATGGATCAACTTTGTCTTTGTATAGCGGAACTGTCATGCTATAGTTCTATTCAGTCGGCATTGAGCAATTTCTCCACATTTTACGGCAAAGTTGTAGTAACGTTTGGATACATGCAGTACCAGATGCTTTAATAATGTCATTTGTGAGTCCAGAAGGCCCTGCTGCCTTTCCATCCTTCATAGCTTTCAGAGCTTCTGTAAGCTCCTCTACAGTGATGTATGGAATCGGACCTTCGATGTTTTTGTTTTATTTAACAGACGATTGAAATATTCTCTCCACTGTAGCTTGATCTCATCTTGTTCAAGAACCATCTCATTTTTGTCGTTTTTGATACATGAGGCACCAACTATGTGTTTTTTCGTACGCTTTGCACGTTTTTCTATACAATACAGAGATTTCATTTGTTCACTTTTGCTTTTAGTGAGCCACTCTCTGCACTGATCTGTCCGAGCCAGTGCGACTTGACGTCTTGCATAGTTGTTCTTCTCACGAAAAATTTTATGGTCATCAACAGACTTTGATTTTTGCCATTGCTTGTATGCAACTTTTTTTTCAGCTATTGCATTTTGTACACTGTCATTCCACCACCAAATATTTTGTTCATGCTGACGTTTTGTACCAGTTTCCCCACAAACTGTAGTTGCAGCGTTTATCAAAACGGTTTTGTATGTACTCCAATCTTTATTGGCCTGCGATTGGTAGTCTAACTGTGTTGTGACAATCTGTTGAAATTTTTTTCGATAAATATTTCTTTTCAGCTTCCACGCTTTGATTCTTCAATGCATTTGTTTAGACTTATGTTTTGATAGTTCGACAATCAGGTCTGCCACAAGGAGTTTATGTTGGGCGACACATGATTCACCAGGTATAATTTTGACTTTTTTGAATAGCCTTCGGTGTTGTTGCTTGACAGCGAAGAAATCAATTTGCGTGGCTGATGGTCCACTTTTGTATGTTATGAGATGTTCTAACCTCTTTCTACAAAATGTGTTCAGTAAACAAAACCCGTGACTTTCAGCAAACTCAAGGATGCAGTTGCCATCTTCATTTCGTTCTCCATAGCCAAAACCGCCATGTACGTTGTCAAAACCATCTGTTTTCTTTCCAACGTGGCCATTGAGATTGCAATCAGGATTGTTTCAGATTTTGGTATTGTTGAGATGGTGTCAAAGAACGCAGCCCAAAAGTAATTTTTCATCTTTTCTAATTTGCCTGTCTATGGTGCGTATGCAGAAAAAATAATCATTGTTTGCTTTTTTAGGCGAAGCTTGATCTACATGAGACGTGAATTATTTTTTTTAATATCCAGTACTTCTTAAGCTAGCGGTTTTCTGACAAAAATTCCAACGCCATTTTTGACCGTCTTTTGACCATTCCAGAATAGTATATATTTTTCTTTGTCTGAGTTGACATGACAAACAATATTTGATTTCCATTCTGAAGGCAGCAGATGTCAATCCTTTTACGCTTGAGCATTTCTGCGATTTTCATGCTGCAGCCAGTCAGTGATCTGACTTTGAGCGTTCCGAGTCTAAAAACTATAGAGGGGCCATTCTGAATTTTTCTGCAACATCCCTCCGTTATTGCATACTTCCAAGGGATTTTTGGCATTTCTTGACTACTTAAAGCTTGCTGGGGACTAGGGTCGTTGTTTTTCTTTGTGTTGGCGTAAGAATAATTTGGGGAAAAGTTTTTACATCCGGACACCCATCCTGACGACAACCACTAGTTATGAGCGGTGGGCCTAGCCTTTTACTCAAAAGCACGCAAGGCAGTGTGGAGGCAATTTTATGTCATGCCCAGGACTGATAACAATAAAACAACAACAATTAAATAATAAAATACCGAGCTTGAAATTAACAAAAGTAATATATTACAATTAGAAATAATCAACTCCTAACTAAAATTCCCCCAATGCATTGTCAAAATTGTAAGAATGGTGAATCTCACTTTTTCCACTTTTTCTATTCAATTCAATACTTAAAATCAGCTTATCAAAATTTCACTTATTGATGTTTTTTGAAAACATCAAAAGAATTTTCTGCAAAGTTAAAGTGTGTGTGAAAGTATTACACTATAATATTTTATTAATATATTATATCGTTATATTAAGTGTGTCATTTTTTATTTATGTCATTTATTTTTCAATAATTTTCTTAGCATGATTTGGGATTTCAATTTAAATTGAGTTTAAAATTGCATTGTATAGCCTCAATATATATATATATATATATATATATATATATATATATATATATATATATATATATATATATATATATATATAACTTTAGCATTGTATAACTTTGTATATAATATACATTCACCTTTATATAAGCTAAGAACATGCATATGCATGAATGTTAGCTGCTACTTAAATACATATTGCATATGCATGAGGGCATGCTGTGCCTTTTCTTTTTTACGTTTATCTCTTTTTAACGTGTGTATTATTGGCACCGAAGATTGCATATAAAATTATATAGGTCGGTTGTTGTGGCTAGGTTCAGTCTCATGTTTTATGACATGTTTTGATACAGCTTGGGTCGTTTGAATAAAATTGAAACTCCGGCCAGGTACCAATCAAATCAAGTAAAATTATTAGTTTAATAATACAAAACTTATATTACTAAATAAATTTAAATACTAATGCAGTGCAATGTCATTAATCACGGCCGTAAATTAGGCATTGCCTTCCAAGCGTACTGCATTGCATGCCATTTTAATAAAATATTTAATTTGTAATATTAAAAGTTTAATTGAAATGATTATCAAAACTAACAATTATCTGAATTATGTTAATTATACCTATCTTATGCTGACAAATTTAATTGCTGAACCAAAAATTTTAATTCAGACACGCATGCAAACATAGTGTAACATTTTCATAGTTTTGTGTGCATTGCACATTAAGTTCACCCATAAACTTACTTGCAAAAAGCTAGAAAATGTTTGTTAAAAATAAAAAAAAAATAGTAGATTAAATTTTTTATGAAATAAAAAATAATTTCAAGTTTAAATTAAAATATTTAACATAAATAAATTTTGTGTTGGTTAGTCGGGTTAGTGTCAGGGAAAATTAATGTTATAAGATGAAGCGACATAACTCAAAACATAACAGAAGAAATTTTCATTTGATGTGTTATTGTTTGGTAGAATTATATTTA